TAAAAAAAAAAAAAAAAAAAAGGAAAGAACACATTCTCTGTTTGTGTATCTGTGTAAATAGGCTATAGCGCATCTGCTTGGGTTTTGCTCAGAACCTTCCATGGCAGCATACCAGAGCTCCTCAAACCTTTGAAATGGTCTCTAGTCCCCCACCACTATATATATGCCTTTCCATTTCCCCCCTCCCCCTTCTATCATCTTCATCATCCTCCCAATTCCCCTCTGCGTTTCTCCTTTTAACTTCACATAATTCCCTCACATTCTCTCCAATACAATCCCCCAGTGAAGTTCGGCAAGGAATTCACGGCTCAAATGGTGCCGGAGTGGCACAACGCCTACATGGATTACAATGTCCTCAAAACCCTTTTGAAAGGGATTCAGAGATTCAAGCTCAGAAATGGCCCTTCTCCCACCCCTCAGCCCTCTGCCTTGAAGCGCAAGCTTACTCTCTACAGAGCCTTCAGCGGTCTCACTCAGGGTACAGCTCATCCTTCCACTCCTTCTCATACCGATTTCGACAACCAAGCAATTCTCGTTAACTGTATGCACGAGGATGGCTCTCAGACCTACAAGACCACATTCCTTTGGGCTGCCGATGATGGCGCTGAGAACGAACTCGTCTACTTCAAGAGGCTCGATGAAGAGTTTAATAAAGTCGATAAGTTCTATAAGGCTAAGGTCGAGGAGGTCATCAAGGAAGCGGAGATGTTGGACAAGCAGATGGATGCTTTGATTGCTTTCAGAGTCAAAGTCGAGAACCCTCAGGGTTTGCTTTTCGATATGGCTGAGAAGACTGTTGATATGACGCGTCTTGCTTCTGGGATTGCTGCTTCTTCCGCTGTCTCGTCGGTTTCCACCCCGAAAGGGGCTTTATCTAGAAGTGAGTTTTGAATCTCTACTCTTGTTTTTGGTGAGGATTGTTGGGAGTTAGTCCCACGTTAGCTAATTTAGGGAATGGTCATGAATTTTATAAGTAAAGGAATGGTATGAGGCCGGTTGGGGGAGCAAAGCCATGAGAGGTTATGCTCAAAGTGGACAATATCATACAATTGTGGAGAGACCATTTCTAACATGGTATTAGAGTGATGCCCTTAACTAATCATGTCAATAGAATCCTCAAGTATCAAACAAAGAAGTTGCTAGCCTCGAAGGTGTAGTCAAAAGTAACTCAAGTGTTGAATAAAGGGTGTACTTTGTTCGAGAGCTCCAAAGAAAGGAGTCGAGTCTCGATTAAGGGGAGGCTGTTCGAGGGCTACATAGGCCTTAAAGAAGACTCTATGGTGTACTTGTTCGAGGGAGAGGATTGTTGGGAGTGAGTCCCACATTGACTAATTTAGGGAATGATCATGGATTTATAAGTAAAGGAATGCATCCCCATTGGTATTAGGCCTTTTGGAGAAGCCCAAAGCAAAGCTACGAGAGCTTATGCTTAGAATGGACAATATCATATGGAGAGTCATGATTCCTAACAGTTTTAGCTTCAACTATATTACCCTGCATTGGATTCCTTTCTTGTTTAGGCTTTTGATGATATCTTTATTTGCCATTTCCTAGTGTTTTCATGGTTTGATGAAGTAGAAAGACCTCATGTGGGCATGGAGATAATTGAGGAAGGTGGGGGTGGTGAGTTAAATGAAGATGGGGACGATATCGACATGATATCCGGAGGTAAACAGGTTGGAGAAGATAAATTGAGCAAATTGAAGGTTGTTAGACCACCTCCATTAAATGTTCTTGATCGTGTGAAAATGAATGAAACCGTTGAAACACCTCGTTCAACCATCAAGGAATTCCTTAAAATCTCTAAGAACACTGAACTCCGGTTCAGCAGAGACAATCTAAATAAAGTTGAAGAACAACTCAAGCATGCCTTCTCTGTGTTTTACCAGAAACTTAGGCTTCTCAAGAGCTTCAGGTACATCTTACTCCCCTATTTTCTCCTCTTTTTCAATGCTCAAATTGCTTAATCTTTTCTCATTCATGGAATTTACCCAGCTTCTTGAATACACTGGCGTTCTCAAAGATCATGAAGAAATATGACAAGGTAATTTCATTTCCTATCTGATTGATTGTGTTGAATTAAGAAGGGTGACTGTGAAGTGGTAATTTGATTGCAGGTTACATCACGAAATGCCTCAAAAACCTACATGAAAACGGTGGACAGTTCTTACCTTGGACGATCAGATGATGTGAGATATAGCTTTTTCAACCATTTCTTTCTTAAAGAAGTTACTCAATAAGGTAAGTTCTTTCTTGAATTATAATATACTAAATGCCAATGCAGGTTGCCAAGTTAATGGAGAGGGCTGAGAACACATTCATCAAACATTTTTGCAATTCCAATCGCAGCAAAGCCATGAATATTTTAAGACCCAAAGCAAAGAGAGAGAAACATTGGACAACATTTTCCATGGGCGCATGCTCTGATTTTCACCATGATTTGTTGTACCATTTATGCTTATTATTTTAGGGACAACCCTTTTTACCAATCTCTCACACTTGAACTCAAACGATTTGCAGGTTTTCTAGCTGGCTGCTCTGCAGCTCTTGTCTTAGCCCTCGTCTTAATTATTCGTGCCCGCAATATTGTGGATAGCAGTGGAAGCACGAAGTACATGGAAACCATGTTTCCCCTTTACAGGTAACTACATGACTCTCCACTCATATTACACATGTTGTTGACCTGTTTGTTCATTTTCATCTCGGACATTCTCCGTCATCCTTGTTCTTAGCTTAAACCACTGTGTAAATAACTGGTTGTGGTTGGGCAGATCAAAATTATAGTTATTGTTATTGTTATTGAGTAATAACTTAGTTGCACTAATCACGTGTTAGCATAAATGTGAGATCCCACGTTAGTTGGGGAGGAGAACGAAACACCCTTTAAAAGGGTGTAGAACCTCTCCGTAGCAGACGCGTTTTAAAAACCTTGAGGGAAGCCCGAGATGGAAAAGCCCAAAGAGGACAAACAATATCTGGTAGTGGTGGGCTTGGACCGTTACAAATGTTATTAGAACCAGACACCGGGCGATGTGCCAGCAAGGAGGTTGTTCCCTGAAGGGGGATAGACACGAGGCGGTGTGTTAGTAAGGACGTTGGACCCCGAAAGGGGTGGATTTGGTGGGGTTCCCACATCGATTGGAGAAAAGAACGAGTGCCAACGAGGACGTTCGCTGGACCCTGAAGGGGGGATTGTGAGATCTCACATCGGTTGGAGAGGAGAGCGAAACCCCCTTTATAAGGGTGTGGAAACCTCTCCCTAGCAAACGCGTTTTAAAAACGTGGAGGAAAGCCCAAAGATGACAATATCTGCTAGCGGTGGGCTTGGACCGTTACTATGAACTATATTCTATCCTAATGGTTTTGACGTGGGAACTCTGATCTGTTTGCAGCCTGTTTGGATTTATTGTTCTGCATTTGGTTATGTATGCTGCGGACATATACTTTTGGTGGCAATATCGAGTGAATTATTCCTTCATATTTGGTTTCAAGGAAGGAAATGAGTCGGGGTATCGTCAAGTTCTCCTTGTTGCTTTCGCTCTAGCAGTACTTTTTCTTAGCTGACCAGCTAACCAGCCAGGTGCAAGCACTCAGATGTTTGGAATTTTATATTTGCTATTATGGTTGGGGAGATTACAGAATTAGAGTAAACACGTGCAAGGCTAATACCATATTCCAAACCATCGGTTTCATTGTCGCCGCTATTCCACACTTGTCGCGCTTGCAGCAGGTACTCCAATCTTGGTATCAATGTTTAACTGAACTCCTGCATTGTAGAAATGGGAACGTACTCATGCTTAGCTTAATGTGTTGTTTTTCGTTTTGTGTGTTTGGCAGTGCCTTCGTCGGCTGTATGAAGAGAAGGATAAAATGCACGCACTGAACGGAATGGAATACTCATTTGCTATCGCTGCCGCTTCCTTCAGGACAGCATACAGTCTGAACAAGACCTTGTATCTTTGGTATATACTAGCTTGGGTATTTTCAGTGATGGCAGCAGTATCGGGCACGTACTGGGACCTTGTGATCGACTGGGGGCTTCTGCAACGGCATTCGAAGAACCGGTGGTTGAGGGACAAGCTCCTCGTCTCTTGGAAGAGCGTATACTTCGTTGCAATGGTGAGTGAGAATAGAAGAATATGTTATGTTTTATTTGGCGATTTGTAAAGATAGAAAACATTGCAAGCGTTGAATGTGATGCTGAGACTTGCTTGGATGCAAACTGTGTTGAACTTCAAAGTCCCTTTCTTACACAAAGAAGGGTTGGTTGCAATTCAGCCACGACAAGCTTCAACTTTCTTTCCCACCTAAATTATTGCAATCGAAAGCATTTCAATTTTACTCAAATACTCCTTTGAATCAGATCTCCTCTTCTTTGGGACCGACATCTCTCCCTCCCCTAGGACTATTTCCTGCTAAACTTCTTCATTTTCAACTCCTCTGCCTCTTCTTTGGGACCGACATCTCTCCCTCCTTCCCCCAGGACTATTTTCTGCTAAAAGAGTGACATTGTCATCGTCCTCATTTTCAACTCCTTCAGTCAAGAGTACTTCCATTCTTGGAAGATTACTAGCTATTTCAATTTGCTCCATCTGTCAATGTACTAATAACTTGATTCAAACGAGTAATGGTCCTAACCTGTGCTTCTATCCACCTAGCTTCATTGATCTCCCCTCCATTTTCTCCGTCTTGGTTCATGATTGTACAAATATGTTTAGAACCTCACACATTCAACTCACTAATTTGACACTCAGAGAAACTCAGTGTTTATTACACACAAAGGTAGGCTAATGTATGGATAAAGCAATTTTGACAGTAGCAAGCTATTCAAGGAAATCAAGATAAATTAATTATGAAATAACATCAAAATAAAACAAGAAAGGAACAAAAATTAATTATGAAATAACATCAAAATAAAATAAGAAATGAACAAACAAATAAGGAACACAAAGATATTTTTGGATAGAATTGCATGCTCGAAAAAGTGAATTCCAAAAAGAATCTTATTATGAGGAAAAAAATATGAAACATAAAAGGGTTTCAGATTTAGATGGTTTAAGAAAAAATGTGAATTTTATTTGATCTTCAAGTAAACTTTGTAAATGGTCTAAAATAAATAATAAAGGACAATTTATAACCACAATAAAGAATAAATATGATAAGAATTTCTTTTTTTTGTTTTTAAGATCTAAATATGATGTTTAGGAAAATGAGGAAAAAGTGAGAAGTTGAAAAAGAACTGCGAAGATGACAACAAGAAAATAAATGGAAAGATTTGAAGAAAAGATAAATAATAGCATAATCAAAGATAAAATCAATTCTAGTGTAGGCCACTCATGAGGATCACTGTATTCCAAATGTTTTAACTAAAGCTATTACACGATTCTAAGGCCAAGAAAATTCAAGCATTCATTATTCATCTACAAAATTAGAAAGACTCAGTTTAACCATTATTTCATGTGTTACAAGTTGATTCTATAGAGGAAGGACTATTTAGAGCTTAAAGTGAATATTTGCATAGTTGAAGTAGGGGATGAAGTTCCTATATATTGTACTTGACTGATAAGTTATAAAACTTTATTTATTATTTTTAATTTCATAATTCTTGTAGTGGACAAGAGGATGGTTATTTGTCAAATTGACTTCTTCGTGGAGATTTAAAGGGAGTGACATTAAATGATGTCTACTAACTTCTTCGGTGGACATTTGAAGAATTGAAAGTTTATTTTGTGGAGAGACTATAAATACCCACAAATTATTACGTAAAAGACATAATTTAGATTAATGAAATTGAGATCTCAATTAAGACTTTCACCCTTAGGAATCTGAGTATCATTTTTGTCATTTCTAAGTTTCAAACAACTATTATGGTAGATTATATCTGAGTCATTCAATGAAGTTTTGATCAAGTTCGATTGTGGAGTGACTCAATTTCAAACAAGATTCCAAATCTTACTTCTTGATCTTTGATCTTAAGAGGTAATCTAATTCTAGTCTTATCTCTTGGTTGATCCGAATTTTATATAAGGAGGTGCTAATTTCTTTGATTCAAGGGTTATTGATATGAACCAAGAGATATCAATCAAACAATATACTTCAATGAAAGTGTGAAGAAAATATTATTGAAATTATCAAAAGATATTTCAATTCATGCCACATTGAAGAATAATGAAGTTCATGTTATAAATTTTGGGTGGATTACAATTTAGAGTAATTTAGAGTTACTGTATTTCATCAATGTATTTTAAGACTTTTTATTTATATTAGTTACAATTACATAATGGTTAATTATGAACCTCTGAATGTTAAACTCTTGGCTTTTTCATTATATAAAGTCATGTATGTTATTTGTAAGTAGACTTGAAAATATAGTAAAAGAAGCATTTGTGCTCTTATTTAGCCAATGGCTAAGTTGTTTTACAATTCTATATAGTTTAGGGTGCATGTAGAATCATTCAAGCTCGACATGATCAATCTTGTTTGTGGAGTGATTTGAATCTCAATCAAGTGTTCTTGTCTTGAGATATTTGATCAACAAGAATCATTCAAACTAGACATGATCGATCTTGCTTGTGGAGTGATTCAAATCTCAAATAATGTTCTTGGAGATATTAAGTAACTATTCAGATTTTCCATTTTTGCCTTATTTGGTTAAGATTTTATTTTTATTTAAGATATTATGTTATGCATTTATTTTCGCCGGAAAATGTGCAATTTTAAACAAGGAAGTTATTACATTAATGGAAATGGTAAAGATTCGGGTTCTAGAATAAAATAAAATCAAATAAAAATAGAATAAATAATTAAATGTAATCTCCCTCGAAATCGTGAGATTTCCGGTGAGACTTTTATTGAAACATTCCTCTTTCCCTAAATTTCCTTATTCTAAAACCCTAGGATGCCTTATTGGTAAATGTCTTGAAATTAGTTTTATATTCCTATGTCCAACCTTTCATATCCCTTCAAAACAATTTTCTCTCCAAACTTTCCTCCGGAACGTTGGGGTTGCTATTCGGAGGAAGAATCGAGTGGAAGTAAGGTATTGATGTCGGGATCATTGTGTCAAAGACGGTTGACCGTCGGAAATCGGTGTTGAGGACATTGTGGGATCGTCGGAGGTCGCCGAAATCGGGGAGGCGAAAACTAAGGTTTCGTCGCTTGTCAGGTAAGGAAGGTGAGGTTTTTGAAATCGGGTTGAGCCGCAGACGCACACCCAACAGCTCTGGCAGCTTCGCACGCGTACACAGTGCACTCGGACCGCACGTGTATGAAATTAGCTCAGTTCCGTCAATTCCCGCAGCTTGGCTTGGCGGCTTAGTTGGTCGGCTCGGCAGCTCGGCTGGCTCGGTATCACTACAATATATCGATTCCAAGGTTTTTGGCTCTTTTGAAGCCGTTTCTGCCCTTAGTTTTTCCATCCGAGGTCAGTATGGTTCCTAAACGTTAAAGACAGATTAGGTCGGGAGTTTATTTTGATAAATAGCATGAGATTTAGCTAGGGTATGTTATGAAAGGCTTCTAAGTTTTTATGTGGTTATTATAGGACATATTTAACCGTTGGGATTAGCTCGATGTGAGTGACTTCAACCAAGGTCATCGAGGTAAGTGACCTTACTGTTGGAGTTAGTTTACTACATGTTGTATGATGGTGCGTGCCTTGTGGCCCCTGCATGCATCATGTTTTTTTATGTGATATGACTATATGATGTATGAATTATGTGACTGTTTATGCTATGGAACGTAATGGGTTATGTTGATGGTTGATTGTTTATGTTATGTGAAGTTATGAATAATATGTTAGTGATATATGCCATGAAAGTGTTGATCGATGTCATGGATACACGTAGTATTATAGTGTCATGTCATGAGATGTTTATGCAACTATAATGTACTTTCATGTTATATAATATGTCATGTAATGTAAGTTATGTGAGATGCCATGTAATGTAAGAAACGTATATGCGATGTTAGCACTGCTTATGTAATGTCATTTTAGATATGTTAAGGGACCTCATGCATATATGTATGCCATGTGCATCAGGATTCTTCCCCTTTATGACACGAAAGAATGAATTACAATATTTATGTTCGCCATGATATCATGCGGGCCCTTTTCTGTTCTGTGGTGTCCGACGACATGTAATACGTTGTGCCCGACCAAGCTAGGCCTAGGGGGTATGCATATGAGCCCGCCTGGTGGGTCCATGTACGCGTACATGGGCCATGTGTGAAGGAGTACCACACATCCAACCCTACCCGGAATAGAAAAGCACTCAAGACCATGTAAAGTTTATGAAAAGTTAGGTCCCGCTCATATGTTGCATGTGTTTGCATTCCTAACCCCAATAGTGGGGTGACTTACTGAGTATTTTATAAAATACTCAGCCACGTGCTACCTACATTTTTCAGGTAAAGGCAAGGCGCCAATGTATGGTTGACTGTGGAGCCGAGGACACCATAGAAGTTGGAGAGGGGATATTTTTAGGGGTTTATGTTTATTTGACTTTTTTAAGTTATAGATTGACTATTGTTTTATTTAGATTTGTTTTGAAAGGTTTATTTTTGGAGATAGGTTTGTTTTGGATTTTGAATCTTTATGAAAGACTCTTCCGGTTATTTATGTTGAGCTTCCGCGTAATGAATTATGCATGCATGAGTGACGTCACTAATTAAGTTTAGAAAACTAGGGGCGTTACATATTCGATCAACAAGGTAATCGAAATCTTACTCCCCTTGTAGTGATTTCCACACATCAGTTATTGCTTCAACAAAAACTTGGATACTTGGGTTGAGGATTAGGGTTGTCTTATCAATAGAACAAGTTATTTCCATTGATACAATCATTTGAAACAACTCTCAATCCTTCACGAGTTGTTTATAGTTATAGTTGGATTCGTTTTACCACAGTAATTGTATCCTTCATCTTAGTACTACTGATTTTCTAATAAACAATTTGTTTATTAATCAATTATAAACCAAGTTTCTTTCGAGCCAATGGGAGGGTGAGACCCATGATTGTCTAATAAACAATTTGTCTATGATTCAATTATAAATCAAGTCCCTTTCGAGCCAATGAGAGGGTGTGACCCCATTGTTTAAGTCATGAAATCAACACTTAAAAAACAACTCATCTGCTTTCCTCATAGGGAAAGAAGTCAATTTCATCGAGTGATATTATGTTCTCAACTTCCTATTTGATAAAGTCCCCAAAATCGTTATGCATATTGAATTGACTATAAGAGTCGTTCTCACCCATTCAAATCAAAGAACAAGTCCTCGTAGCCAGGATTTCATAACTCACTCAAGATTAAGATCGAGTCACTTATGATATTTGTCTGAAATATTAATCTTTTTAATTAACAAATCCAAGTTCTAAAGAAAAGAATTCAAGAACCATAATACTAAAGCCCTTAGATCAAATCCAAGGTTTCAGAATCCAAGGACCAAGGTGCTCGGGATAGATCATGATAAGAACCCATAGGTCAAGAACAAAACTAAAGGGCCTACGTACTTACAACAAGAACCAGAACAAAACAAGAAAAAGTGTGGTACTCTAGCATATCAAGGACACAATTAAGAACTTATAAGTAGGCTACTTACTAAGTTTTGTACTTATGCCATGTTTTCCATGTTTATCAAGTAAACAAGGAGCTGGTCGAGATCGGGAGCAGACTATGGAGCAGGTGCCATAGACAAACCTGACCCGTCGTCCTCCACACCATTTTTTTTTAATGGTTTGTGTTCGTTTCTTATTTTATGTTTGAAATATGTTGTATTTTAATGTGTTATGTTAAGAATTAGAAATAGAAATAGAATTGGGAAGGAGTGTATTTTCATTGTATTCACAACCTTTAAATAGGATACAAGCTAGCATCTAATACCCTACCAACAACTAAAATATAAACTAATTAATATTGAGAAAGTCAATAATATACTATAAGTCAAATTATAAAGGAAAGAATATTAAAATATAATATCTAAGATATATTCCATAAATAATATATAATCCAAATATTATATCTTAACACTCCCCCTCAAGTTGGAGAGAGTGTGTTAATCACATCCAACTTATCTTTACGAGTGTAGATCAATAACACCCAAGTTGTCTTTACGAGTGTAGTCAATAACACCCAAGTTCTCTTTACGAGTGTAGGTCAATAACACCTAAGTTGCCTTTGAGAAGAGAGTATAGGTCAATAACACTTTTGTCTTCCCAATAGTGAAAATAGAGAGTGTAGGTCAATAACACTCAACTTGTCTTTCGAAATATCAAATTGATGTCTTCCCAAAGCTTTAGTGAAAATATCTGCCAATTGCATTTTAGTCGAAACATAACACGGTTTGATGATTCCAACTTGTAATTTTTCTCGAACTATATGACAATCTATTTCAATGTGTTTTGTACGTTCGTGAAAAACTAGATTGGCTGCTATGTGTAATACTACTTGATTATCACAGTACAATAATGCTGGTTCGGACAGTAGAACTTTCAAGTCTTGGAGAATGTATCTTAACCAAGTTAACTTTAAACAAATATTTGTCATAGCTCGATACTCGGCTTTTGCTGATGATCTGGACACATTGGTTTGTTTTTTAGACTTCTAAGAAATAATTGAATTTCCAAGGAAAATGCAGAACCCAGAAATAGACCATCTAGAAGTTCAACAATCACCCCAGTCTGAATCGCAATATGCTTGTAATCTCAAGTTATTTTCAGATGGTAGTAGAAGTCCTTGATCAGGAGTACCTTGATGTATCTCAGAACTCGAAGAGCTGCCTCCCAATGTGGTTTTCTTGGTTCATGCATAAATTGACTAAACATACGAACTGAATACACTATGTCAGGCCTAGTAACAGTTAAATATATTAATCTGTCAATCAACCGTCTGTATTTACTTGGATCATTCACTTTTCTCCTTCTAATGAAGAAAGTTTCAGATTTTGCTCCATAGGAAATTTTTCTGGACGTGCTCCTGTAAGACCTGTGTCTTGAAGAATGTCTAGAGCATACTTTCTTTGAGACATAAAGATTCCTTTTCTAAACCTAGAAAATTCAATTCCTAGGAAACATTTTAAATTCCCTAAATCTTTGATAAGGAATTTCTCGAGTAAACTAGTCTTGAGATGTTGAATTTCTTTGAGATCATTGCCTGTCAATAGAATATCATCAACATAGATAAGAGCTACAGTGAAAGAAGTACCTTTACTCTTAGTAAATAAAGAGTAATATGCTTTGGACCGAGTGTAGCCTACATTTTATATAGTGGTAGAGAATATGGAGAATCAATTACGAGAAGCCTGTTTTAAACCATAAAGAGATTTATGGAGCCGACATACTGTATTCTCCCCCTATTGGCGAATACCTGGTAGTAAAGACATATAGACTTCCTCGTCTAGATTACCATGGAGAAAGACATTTTGAACATCCAACTGATGAGTGAACCATTTTCGAGCAGCAGCAATAGTGAGTAAGCAACGAACTGTAATAAGTTAAGCTGTAGGAGAAAATGTCTCTTTGTAATCAACACCTTCAACCTGAGTGTATCCCTTTGCTACCAGTCGAGCTTTATAACGTTCAACAGAACCATCAGAGTTATGGTTAATCTTGTACACCCAACGATAGCCAATAGCTTTATGGCCAGGTGGTAGAGGAACGAGAGACCAAGTATGATTACGTTCCAAAGCTCCAATTTCATCATTCATAGCCTGCTGCCATAATGGGTTGCCAACTGCCTCATCATAGGTTTTAGGTTTTGTCTGGGTTGTAATAAGAGCTAGAAAAGCATGTTGAGTAGGAGGAAAAACGAGAGAATGAAAGGTAATGATGAAGGGGATACCTAGTGCCAGTGGTGGGACTTGAGCTAGAGGTTAAATGATTGGCTCCAGAAGACATCTCATAATCATTATAACAAGCTGGAGGTTGTTTGGTACGAGTAGAACGTCGGAGTGAAACTGATATATCAGGTGGGATACCTAGTGCCAGTGGTGGGACTTGAGCTAGAGGTCAAATGATTGGCTCCAGAAGACATCTCATAATCATTATAACAAGCTAGAGGTTGTTTGGTACGAGTAGAACGTCGGAGTGAAACTGATATATCAGGTGGGATAAGATTAGATTTAGTGGGTGAATCTAGTGAATCTAGAACTGATGAATTTGGAGAAGGAATAGAAGGTGGAGGAGACGACGAAGGAATAAAAGGATTAGAATGGATGTTTGAGTAGGATGGATCATAAAATGGTAAAATGGGAGTTGAAGAAGCTAATGTCACAGTTTGTGAAGCTGATGAAAAAGGAAAATCATCTTCACAAAATTTAACATCACGATTGATAAAAAAAATTTTAGATTACATGTCATACAACTTGTAACCTTTGTGACCACAAGGATATCCTATGAAAACACAAGCAATTGCCCGAGCTTCAAATTTTTGTTTAGAATGTACTACAGTTGCATAACACTTACAACCAAAAACTTTAAGATGGTGAAATGTAGATGGTCGTTTGTAGAGTGTTTCAAAGGGTGTCTTGTTAGATAACAATGGTGAAGGTGTTCTATTTATAAGATAAATAGCAGTTAAAATTCATTCATTCTCCCCAAAAATTAAGTGGAACCTATGATTGAAAAAGAAGAGACTTAGCTACATTTAGGATATGACGATACTTACATTCTACGACTCCATTTTGTTGTGGAGTATAGACACAATTGCGCTAAAGTTCAATGCCACAAGAAGTAAAAAATGGTTGCAAAGATAGTAGTATGAAATTAAGTTTGAACGAATTTAACAAAGTTTACTAACAAATGGTGTACTTCTGATTTGTGTTGCATAAGAAAAACCCAAGTACATCGAGTAAAATCATCAACAACAATGAGAAAAAAACGCAAACCAGAATGGGTTGGAATTTTATGTGGTCCCCAAACATCACAATGTAACAGATCAAAGGCAGAATGGGTTGTTATTGAACTTTTTGAGAAAGACAACCTAGTTTGTTTTGCTAATGGGTAAATACTACAATGATGAGAAAGAGTAGCATTATTAAGATGTAATTGATCAGCTAGAAATTTAAAACGAGAAGGAGAAGGATGACCTAAGCGTAAATGCCACAAATCAGATGACTGAGATACTTGATTTGCTAAAGATTCGATTGGAGATGAAGAAATATGATAGAGACCTCCGAATTGTTTACTCGAGCCAATCATCTTCCCCGTAGCCAAGTCCTGCATAACACAAGAATCAGGATAAAAGGTCACATAACATTTCAAGTCATTGGTAAGTTTGCTGATGAATATTAGGTTTAAATTGAATGAAGGCACACATAAAATATTGTTTAATTTAAGGTTAGGATTAAAAGAAACATTGTCGGTATGTGACACATGTGTTGTCTCTCCATTAGACAAATTTATTGTAGATATGGTGGTAGCCTTTGGTTCAGTCATAACAGAAGTTTTGAATACTATATGATCTATAGCTCCACTATCGAGAATCCATGGATTAGAACTCGTAGGGTTAATAGATAATGCAGATACTGGAAACAAACCTGCAACATTGATGTTATTATCAGAATTACCAAAAGGACGACGATTGAGTGCAGATAAGGCTTGTACAATCTGTTGTAATTGCTCAGAAGAAAAATTTGGGATGGAATTAGGTGATTGTTCTTCTGTATTCAACTGAGAAACATCGACCATGTTTGAAGATGATCAATATCCTCGATTGTTCCGTTTATTGATTTATATTGCCCTTCTAGAATTATTTTTCTATTGACATAAATTTTCTGTATGTTCCCTTCTATCACAAAATTTACAGTGAAACTTAAGGAATCGACACTCATCAATTGTATGACCACTTTTATTGTAGCGTTCACATGATTTATTATTGACAAATTTTGAATATGTTGTTTTCTTCTGCACTGCTGATACAATCGAGAAATTCTAGTAGGTTCAGAAGTTACCGAACGCTGCATCTCTTCTTGTACAAGTAATGAATAGACTTGCCTCACATTAGGTAACGGAATCATCATCAATATGTTATATCTCACCGTTTTATAAGACTCATTGAGCCCCATGAGTAGTTGCATCTACTTGTCTTCTTCGCGTTGATCAACATGTATTTGACGTTGATTACAGGTAAATGGTGTGTGGTATGCTTCCAATTCATCCCAGAGTGCTTTGAGCTTGGTGAAATATATTGACAGTGCCATGGTTCCCTATGACATTATTGCTATAGACTTTTGTATCTGAAAAATTGTTGGAGCATTCCATTGTGAGAATTGATCGTGAAGATCAACCCACACTTGATGAGCTGTCTTGACGTGAATAATATCCTCAGCGATATCTGCTTCAACTGAATGAGTTAACCAAGACATTATCATATTGTTGCATTGATTCCATAGTTCAAATTCGATTGAATTTGCATCTTGAGACGGTTCTTCAATTGTAGCCAATTTTTTTTTTTTTTTTTTGACAATAAGAGCATGCATAACTGATTTACTTCAATTAATTTGTTCCATTTAATTTAATTGGAACAAGGGAATATCCTAGCCGATGATGAGAGTGATAAATATAATAAGGATGTGTTAGCAAGTAAAATATAAACTAATTATAATTTTCTCACTGATTAAGATTAATTACGTGTCCGAGAATGAAGTGAAGAATCTTTTAACACATTTTCATGGCAAATCACCCAATCATATCTAAATATCTCATAATATCATCTGAACCCTATCCATCCACAATTTTCAAATTTTTATCCACTACTGCAATGGTTTACTGGAAGCTTGAAATCCCCCAAAAATGGCGACTCCAATGGCGTTAGCTTCTTCATCCTCTAATTTCCTTTCCCTTCCGCGCACTGCAACGCACCTTTCGTTCTCGCCAAAGTGGCCGGTGCTCTATCCCAAGCCATGCTTCTCTATATCTTCCCTCGCCTCTCCGGATTTAGACCCATCGTTGCCCTCAAACGTTCACACCTTCTGGCAATGGCTTCGCCAGGAAGGCATGGTCTCCTCCAAGACTCACGTGAAGCCGGCAATTTTCCCTGAAGGCCTCGGACTGGCTACCACCAAAGACCTATCCAAGAACGAGGTCGTTTTGGAGGTTCCCAAACGATTCTGGATAAATCCTGACGCGGTTACTGATTCCGAGATTGGAAATGCGTGCAGTGGATTGAAGCCATGGGTTTCTGTTGCTCTGTTTCTGATTAGAGAAAATTTGAAGGACGACTCGCGTTGGCGACGGTACCTCGATATTCTCCCGCCACAAACGGATTCGACTGTGTTTTGGTGTGTTTGGCTTAGTTCTTACTGTTTAATCTGCTCCTCGTTTAATGTGTTTACATAATTGTGGAGTTGAAGGCGGATGTTTCAGTGCAGGTCTGAAGAGGAGCTTGAAGAGCTCCAAGGTTCGCGTCTCTTATATGTTTTAATTTTGGTTTACCATGCTTTCCCAATCCAACTTGGCTGATGCTAGAACACAAATGTTGGATTTATTAGGGTTTTCAGAAGGAGAAATGTGTTAATTCTTTTGAAAATATTAGGGTTTTTAGGAAGGAGAAATGCGCCTCTGGTCTCTAGATCAGTATGGTGCTTTCATCATGAAGAGGAGTCTTTCTGGTTCCCTATAAATAGCAGTAAATAATCGATTACAACATTAGTTCTTCATGAACTTTTCAGGAACCCAACTTCTGAGTACGACTTTGAATGTAAAAGAATATGTTAAGAGCGAATTTCTTAAGGTTGAAGAACAGATATTGCGCCACCACAACGATCTATTTCCTTCTCCAGTTACTCTGGATGACTTCTTTTGGGCTTTTGGGATACTCAGATCAAGGGCATTTTCACGACTCAGAGGCCAAAACCTTGTTTTGATTCCTTTTGCTGACTTGGTTAGATCTCAAACTCTTACTTATCTGCTGTTCTAAGTGTTTTTTTAATTAGATTTCTCTTTCCTATATTCTACAAGAATGCCATAACTCAATGATTTCTTATCTGCTGCACGAATTAGTCTATTTTTTAGTTAGATTTTAACTCCCCTCAAACACAATTCATAATTAATCAGGTCAACCATAGCGTTAGCGTAACCTCAGAAGAACATGCATGCGAGGTTAAGGCACCTGCAGGCCTCTTCTCATGGGATGTCCTATTCTCTCTCCGGTCCCCAACTTCTGTTAAGGCTGGCGAGCAGGTGAAGTACTAATTTCTACGTTCATGTACCTGGCTGACATGACTGGTAGTTGGAGTTTTCTCTTCTTGAAGGTTTTATTCTAAAACTAGAATTTATTTACAGTATAGATAAGTTATTTAGATAATTTCAATATGATCTTTTCAGGAGTAAAATGGTCCTCTGCTATGCAGTTTCAATTTAGTTTCTATGCTTTTAAAAGTTTCATTATCATTGTTGCTATCACTGAATCAACACTTACCCAAAATCCCAGAAATCAAGTGTACAAGTTGTTTGCAGTTGAGCTAGAAAATGAGTCAAAGAAGTTCCATATACATTAATTGTTGCATTCCAAAATATATATGTATTGAACTTTTGACTGTATGTTCAACAGGTTTTTATCCAATATGACTTAAAAAAGAGCAATGCGGAGTTAGCTCTTGACTATGGGTTCATAGAGCCAAAATCCGACCGCAATGCATATACACTGACATTTGAGATTCCAGAGTCAGACCCTTTCTTTGATGACAAGCTAGATATTGCTGAGACAAATGGCCTTGGCGAGACTGCTTATTTCGACATTGTTTTGGAGCGTCCTTTTCCACCTGCAATGCTTCCATTCCTGCGGCTGCTAGTGCTTGGAGGCACAGATGCATACCTGTTGGAATCTCTGTTTAGAAACTCAATATGGGGTAATCTTGAAATGCCTGTTAGTCGAGCAAATGAAGAGCTTGTATGTCAAATGGTCAGAGATGTTTGTGAGGCTGCTCTTTCTGCCTACCATACCACCATAGAAGAGGTAAACCATCGAATAAGAGAAGGAGAGAAAAGGGTTTTGCAACTACAATGAATTATTCTAACCTCATTTGATAACGACCATGAATTGCAGGATGAGAAGGTAAAAGGAGAAAATCTTGATTCAAGGTTGAGGATTGCTGTTGGAATAAGAGAAGGAGAGAAAAGGGTTTTGCAGCAATTAATCAAAATTTTCCATGACAGAGAACTGGAATTAGATGAATTGGAATTTTACCAAGATAGGAGGCTAAAGGATTTTGGGCTATGTGGGGAGCAAAGTGAAATCATCTTTTGGGAGTCCAAATAGGCATGAAAGTAGGATAAGTCATTCATTTTGTGTCTGAATTTTACTTAACTAGCTTATATTAATATTAGGTGTTGGAATATCCTTTATTGGATTCAAATAAATGCCTTAACCTCTAGAAATATTTAGCGGTTTAGATCATTCCACTACCATAATTTCAAAAATGTCCAACATTTGAACATTTTCGTATCATTATACCCTTGGTGTTGTGTGCGTCTTCTCATTCAATGCAATTTGATTTTATTGATTAATTTCCTATAAGATTGATATATATATTTGGACACCATCGTTCTTTATACTTTATAAAGATCACAATGTTTCAAATGTTCTAACTGAATCTATTACACGATCTAAGGCTAAGAAAACATTCATTCATTCCTCATCTACAAAATTGGATAGGCTTGGTTCAACCACTATTTCATGTGTTAATTCAATTGAAGAAAGACTCTACTAAAGTGAATATTTACTTGTAACATGATTGAGGAAGGATCATTTGGAGCGAATATTTGTTTCATGTGGTTCAAGCTAATTTGATTGAGGAAGGAATATTTGGAATTTTAGAAGTGAATATTTGCACACTCAAAATAGGGATAAAGTTGTTATAAATTACCATTGATTATAAGGGGTGAGAAAACTTTATTTATTAGTTTTAATTTCATAATTTTTGTAATGGACAAAAGGTTGTTATTTTTAATTTCATAATTTCATAATTGTTGTAATGGGCAAAAGGTTGAAGTTATGTGTGAAATTGACTAGTGCGATTAAATTATGGTCACTGTAAATACCCACAAATTATTAGGTAAAAAAAAAAAAATGATTTTAGAGGAATGGAATTGAAATATCAAATTGAGATTTTTATCGTTAGAAATTTGAGCATTGCCTTTGCCATTTATAAGTTTCAATAAATTTATTGCATCCGAGCCATTCAATCAAGTCAAGTTCTATTGTGGAGTGACTTAATTTAGAACAAGGTTTTATTCATTGATTAATTTGGGTTCAAATCTTGATTCTAAATTTTTAATCATAATCGAATTCTAGTTGTTAGTTAGTTTTTTTTATTAACAAAGTTTGGATCGTTGGGGTGAGGATTAAGTTTGCATGTCATTTTCTGTCTGGGACAAATTAAAAAATAGATGCACACATCATCTTTATTATTATTTTAACAAAAGCATGATTATTATAATGGATACTTAAATTTAGGTATTTAAAGTTAATGGAGGAGTGTGATTTAATTCAAACAATTTCTGATTATTATTACAGGAAGAAGAAAAAAAAAAAAAAAAAAAGGGATATAATAAGTATATTGGGAAAATAAAATATAAAAATAGAAAAGTGATTTAAAAAGATGCTTGGTTGGCGGAAGCCTTGTTTTGGCGCGAGAAGTTGAGAGTGGAGATCCGTTTCCAACGGACTCTGTGTTCTTCAAACCCTTTTTCTCCCTCTCTTCGCTTCCTTCTTCTCCTTCATTCTTCCCTTCCGCTTTCTGAATAACACCGCTTTCTCCAGACTGAGGAATCTGAGTTCCCTCAAGGAACGACGATTCCTCATTTATGCCCAACCATCGCTCATCTATTTCCCCAGGCATGTCTCTCTCGCTCCTATTGCTACATTTCTATATTTTCTGCTTTTTAAGCTTCAATTTGGTATTTGTGATCTCGCTCATACGCCAATGTAACAACATCAAATCCTCTTCCAGGGACCTGCTGATTGTTGCGAGTTAATTTTCCAAACCCATTGACGTCCGAGAAGGTAAAACTCCTCTTCATTCCTTGTGGATATATCAAAATCTATTTTCCCTAATTTACTCATCTCATTGGCTGATTTTACTTTTTATTTCGTTTTATGTCTACATGGAGAATGTAGAATAGGATGCCTCAAGGAATTATAGTTAGGTCTTAAGTTCTATGAACGAGATCTGTTTGTTTATGCATCGGCACCTGATTTAGCTTTTCTGATAATCCTAATAATATTCCAAATTGGAGCTGTCTTCTTGTCATTGATTCTGCAGTTATGCACCGCCACGTAATGGTAATACATACAAATTTGACGTTATTATAGGTCTCTTCTTTGTGGAGTGTTGTGCTGCTCTTTTTAATCACCCTAGAGCTTTAGGATTTCAAATCTAACACAATGGGTGGCTGCACCTCAAAACTAAGACGGAGTCTCAAAGCATATAGGAAGTACTCTTCACGATTTGGAAAACGACGTAGTAATGTTTCAGCTATCAAAGGAATCGGTGATTCACGAATCCATGCAAGAGAATTTACAGTCAGTGATTTTGTTCATCTCGATCTTGAGAAGGGAGTTCCGACAAACCGTGCAAGGCCTAAGGTTTCTAACATGACATTCCTTCTTAAGCAGCTGCAGTTGAGGCAGGGTCAAATTGATGCAAATGGTATCTTTCTTCCGCTCTCAATCCTTGAATCCTGCTATTGCACTTGACACCTTAATACACAATGAATTTGGAAGAACATTGTAATGTATTGTTTTGCTTCGCACTTGCCTCGTACCATAAATACTAATAGATAGACTCTTTGTCGTACATGAATATTCATGATTGTGTCTGCTAGTTCCTGCGTTCAACCAGTCATGAGCTTGAATAAAGCTCATGTATCTAAAATTATGTCTAGATTAATTTCTGAGCGAAGCCCTTTTATTTTACTCACTCAGCTGCCACCATGTTGGAAGGTTTAGATGGAAAATAAGATTTCTACTTTGGTTAAGTTGGATATATCTCATCTGAACCGTGAATTTTGAAATTGTGCCATCTGTAGGAGTGTGCCAAGATGAACCATGGTTTGACTCAGCTAGTATTTTGGACTCTGAGGATGATGAGGAGGATTTCAGCAGTGTTCTTGGAGGTAAATCTAAACTTCTTTCTCCACAGCCAACAACTTCTTCCACATTTCATTCACAAAAATTGTTACCTTGTGTTTTGAGATGGCAGATTGTTTTCCTTCAATTGGAAATGGCCCAAATGCTCAATTGCTTCAGTACGAAAGAACATCGTGCTTCATTGACACTGGATGTATGTATGAAGCCTATGAAAGTTATCTTAAAATTGATGGAGGTGCACAGAATTTTGAATATACGAGTCAGGAGTTCAATATGAATACTTGTCTGCCATGTTTGCCTCCTCCGGTTAGTTGCAATGAGAAGAATCATTCTTCTAATCCCCAACCGGAAAATAGGAAGAAGTCAGCAGTTATCATGCTTTCTGTTAAGAGAAAATCTGTCGACGGATACGAAAGAACTGAGTTCTGTACGTAAACAAGCTAGCTCTGGGGATTTTGTGTTAATTAACCATGTTTTTGAATTACTTATGTATTGATTGCTCCGGTTTTATAGAAGTATATTTTTTGATCCACAGATACGTCAGAGAAAATTATATACCGTCCAAGAGCAGGACTTCAAATTCCATGCGCAAAGGGAGAAAAGTTAACTCCATCGTCCTGGTCCCCTATTTCACCTTCTGTATTTAAGCTTCGTGGAGAAAATTACTTCAAGTATGTTCTTGAGTTTCACGTCCTATAATTCCATATTGTGTACATCTAGGGGCTTTTGATTTATAAATGCCTAACTGTGCTGCAACTTTGTACACCTATTGTGTAGAGACAAACAGAAATACCCTGCTCCAAACTTCAGCCCATATGTACCAATTGGAGTCGACTTGTTTCTCTGCCCCCAGAAGATAAATCACATTGCTCAGCATCTTGAACTTCCGCATGTGAAAGCACATGGAAAGCTACCATCTATTTTAATTGTTAACATACAGGTCTTTTGATTTTCACTTTATTCTATTCAATGAGCTTTCCAATAGTAAGAATTTTGTCCACCATTGCCAAAATGGAAAAGAAATATGATAATCTCATCTGGCTTTACTCTGAAGAATCATTGGCATTTATTATTTTCTGAATGTTACAAACTGCACCTGAACTTTCTTAACTAATCTCGTTTTGTTGTTTCGGTTTTAGCTGCCTACCTATCCAGCTTCGATATTCGCTGGCGATTACAACGGTGAAGGGATGAGCCTTGTACTGTATTTTAAACTGTCTGACAATTGTGACGAAGAGATATCTCCTCATTTTCAAGACTGCGTCAAGGTTCCTTTTCCACCACTTCAATCAAGTTTTATAAATAGTTTGGATAATTGAAAATGTTTGATCTACCTAGGAAAATTTTCGAAAAACGAAAATGAATTTGATACGTCATATTTGCATCCTCCTTTCTGTTAGATTACTTGCACTGATAGTTCTAATAAGAAAAAAAAGATCTAAAGCTGATTTTCTTCATCAGAGGCTGATTGAAGATGAAATGGAAAAAGTCAAAGGATTCACAAGGGAATCCATGGTTCCTTTCAGAGAAAGGTTGAAAATAGTGGGTGGGTTGGTTAATCCTGAAGATCTCCAGCTAAGTGCTACTGAAAGAAAGCTAGTTAGTTCTTATAACGAAAAGCCAGTGCTTTCACGACCTCAACACAACTTTTTCAGGGTAAAATGATTTCCATTTCTTGAGTTCATTGTGATAATACTATAGAGATTTAGGCCTCTTGATGGCTGACTTTTGCATTATGGTTATTTCAGGGACAAAATTATTTTGAAATTGATTTGGACATACATAGGTTCAGCTATATATCAAGGAAAGGTCTTGAATCATTTCGAGATCGCTTGAAGCATGGGATAATTGACATTGGGTTAACAATCGAGGTACTTGAATTACATTCAAACTGATAATTGTGTTTTTGATGCGCACTTGCTGGAGGGCATTATAGGTTTAATCCTGAATTTTGAGCATACAAACTTTCACAAGTTTCAATTACTGAAATGCTGGAATATGCTTCTTCTACATAGTTCTTCTCATTGATAATGTTAAGGAGATTAAATAAACAGAATAGTGTTAAATTTGCGTAATGGTTGGGTTTTGGCAGGCACAAAAACCTGAAGAACTGCCCGAGCAAATGATGTGCTGTTTGCGGCTGAATAAGATTGATTTTGTAAACCATGGGCAGATACCTACAATTTCGAGTGTAGGTGAAAATTGAGTCATGGGAGAATGATGGGAAGGCCAGCATTTGTGTCCAAGGAGATTGTATATGTTACCATTCTTTCTTTCGCAACGCCACTCAAACTGTCAACACAGTCTTTGTGTTTCTTATGGTGGGGGATGTAAGTGATATCCACAACACTGCTGCTGGTAAGATTTTATAACAAAATTATAAATTTTTATATGGTCGGATTTTGCAGGAGTAAATTAGTGCTCGAACTTTCCTGTAGTTTATTTAATAAATTAACATCAAGAGCTTTTACTTGATGATGTTTTTGTTTTTGTTTTTTTAAATCTATGAGTCCCTCAACTCTAGGATCGGGTGATAATTAAATAAATAATTAAATAGAGGTGGTAGAGAAAGAAGAATTCGAGAAAAATGTAGAATTGAAGGGTGATTAAAAGGAAGTTTGATTCCAACTATTTTTAGTGTTGTGCACAATTGAAATGGGACATGTTTTAAAGATAAGGGAAGGCGTTTGGTTTGAAGGAGGTATCAAACATATTTGAATGAAGTAATTCAATGGTAAGATCCAAATCCACCTTCATGACTTTAAGGAACAGTTTGACAAGCTGGTGTTTGAGAATGATGACAATGCAGTGAAAGGGTCACTGGTCCATTATACCATGCATCTAATGAACAATTTTTTTCATCAATAATCTTAAACTTAGAAGAAGAAAAAAAAAGAAAAAATCTTTATAGTTGGATTTAGATAATACCGTTAATACTTCATTTCAAATATTTCAAGACAAAACAATTTTTTGAGATTTGATGTCAAACTTGAATGATTCTAACCATATACTTCAACTACATATAATTGCAAATAAATCTAGTTATTGACGAACTAGATGCATTTAAAGAGTTTAACCTTTCATACCTTATGCATACTTTATATCATAATTAGCCACTATATAGATGTAACTTTAAACTACATTAAATAAACACTCTAACTCTAAATTATCATCCATCCAAAAGTTGTAACAAAAAATAAATGAAGCTGAATTCTTCTAACAAGATAGTTTGAACAACATTTTCTTCGTATCTTTCTTAAGTTTGTGTTGCATGTTAATGTCTGAAACACATGTTGATCAGCCAAAGAGGAACTTCTTTGGTGCGGATTGGAACACATGTCATGCAATGAGAAGGGTTGTGCATTAGGCATTGGAATGAGCTACGTGTCTGTAGATGAGAGGAGATGCATGTCGGATCAAAAAAGTGACACGTGTGTCAACCATCGGCTAGGACAAGGGTTGCGCCCTTAAAGGAAGGTCGAACCAACCTGACCAATTCGCCTGCATCTGCCTCGTGACTTGACTGCCTGCATCTAACCCATACTATGACCTATGCTCATCGAATCGACCTAACCTTACATAGAAATGCTAGTCAGCGCATGCCGTGTGTCGCGCTGTGAGCGCATTTGCTCCTCCCTTAGGCACATCTATACACGCATGTAGCTGTGCACATGGGAAACCCTTTTAAGTGCATGGAGGTGCGTGGTTGCTCGTAGTGAACTCTTTTTTATCCCCTTTGAGCTTTGTTGGGCTGTTTTTCATTCCTATTTTGATACTAACCTTATTATATTTTAAATTAAGGTCTATCAATAGCTCGTGACACACGAAAAAGCTATCTCGAGAAGCAGGGGTGATTAGGCAAAAGAAACAAAAATTAGGCCCACGTTTCTGAATTTCTGAATTTCTAAATTAGGCAAGGTCTCTCCTCAGCGCTTTCAGCCTTAATCTAGGTTCCTTAATAAGTTTTTCTAACCTTTATCTAACAGATCGCACCTGATTTCATCTCATTCCTCCATTTTATCCTCTCCATAAGCTGACTCATCAAGTTTTATTTGTTGAAGTCTACTACTTGTTAGAGTCTAGTCTCTATTGTTACCTGAGCATCTGGAGTGCTTTGAAGTTTTGAGCATTTCTTTGATTTGAATCTTACGGGTCTATACAAGTTCTACAACCTTTCTATTCATTGACTTAAGAAGCTTGCTTTGTTTACGCACTGGATGACCGATGACCTGGGACGAGACGCTACCTCATAAAGTTTAGATGAGACGATATGGTATTTTTCAGTTTTTACATCACCCATGGAAGGTTAGTTGGTGAACCCTTCTATATGATCATAAAGTCACCTAAGTTTGGGGAATGCGATCCCTCGTGTGTCAGCCAACTACTAGGTTTACCTGCGTGATTCCACACCCCCTCTAAGGGACGGGTCTACATCACTGTGGCCATGTTTCGAAGACCCCTAGGAATTTCCACAAGGTTGGGGCACCTCTCACACTGTTGGGATTTATGTCCTAAAGGCTCGTAATTAATTATTTAGTTTTTAACAATAATTTTTATTATTTTATTTGTAATTTCATTGTTATCCATGGTATGAAAGTTCAAGGTTATTAATGTAATCTTGAATAGTATGTAGTTGACATACAAGAGGATCGTATTTAAGTAATAACCTAAAGAGTTTATGGTATATGGATAAGGTTGGGTGCCTTATCCTGGTAACACTATTGATACGACCCACTTTGTAATCGTTACAAATGATTTAATCCAAATCGTTCATGTGGAAACATATAAGTGGTGGTTTCCTATACAATGAGTTTGTATAAGACTGGACAAAGAAATATTTAATCTCTTCATAAATTTGTTAATTTAGAAGATTAATATTTCACATGATGATCATATGCGACTCGATCTTAATCCTGAGTCAGTTATGTACTCCTGCGTGTGAGGGCTTGTCCTTTAATTTACATGGGTGAGAATGGGTCTTTTAGCCGATTCAATATATCTACCATTTTGGGGAATTGACCAAATAGGGAATTGGGAACATAATATCATGGGATGGAATTCACTCCATTCCATATAAGGAAAGTAGATGAGTTGTTCTCTTAAATATTAATTTCGGGACTTGAACAATGGGCCCCACCCTCTCATTCGCTTGGTTTATGATTGGATCATAAACCAATTGTTCAATGGAGAATAAATGGTACTGGTGAAAGATGTAATTATATGGGTAAAACGGACTTTTAACCCAAATGTAATTATGAACAACTTGTGAATGATCGCTTGTAATGATTATATCAATGAACATAACTTGTCCTATAGTGTATAAGAGTGCAACTCTAGGTCTATAGTGGAGTGACCTATATAGTTAATGAATGAAAATTGATTAACTAAAGAGTTTAATTAATTAATTTAAATCATTGTAGCTTATAATTTGTAGGTCCATGAGGTTCCTTGCTAGTTCAAAGTAACGCTAAAAGGTTCAATTTATTTGAAAGAAAATTTAAAGTATTCAAATTGATATTTAATATATTATATATATTAAATGTGAAAGAGAAAATAAATTTAATTTAAAATGTAAAATTAATATTTAATATATTAGATATATTAAATAAAAATTATATTTAATTTGAAGGGTTAAAATTAATAGGTAATAGGTAAATATAAATGAAGAAAAATATATTAATTTGAAGGATTCAAATTAATATTTAATATATTAGATATATTAAAATGAAAAATATATTTATTGTATTTGATGCAATTAAATATTAAATCTTTAATGTATTTTGATATATTTGATTCAAATTAATTAAATATATATTATGATATCTTATAATATTTAAATATGATTTGTATATAGTCTTGCAAGCTAGGGTTTCTACAAAGGTAGAGTTTTTACTCTTCTATTTATTATTTTGTTTTAATTCTTAATAAAAATCAAAACGGTTCCCAATGCTTTCGCTACATGGATGAAGAGTCCATTTCCTTCTGATAAGATAAGGACCCACTACAAGGGGAGTAAGTTTCGGATTACCTTGTTGATCGAATATCTCAAGGCAAGAACACTTGATTGAGATTCGAATCACTCCACAAGTAAGATCGATCATATCTAGCTTGAATGATTCTTGTTGATCAAATATCTCAACGCAAGAACACTTGTTTGAGATTCGAATCACTCCACAAGCAAGATTGATCATGTCGAGATTGAATGATTCTATATGTAACCTAAACTAAATAGAATTGCAAATAAACTTAGTCATTGGCTAAAAAAAAGCACAAATTCTCTTTTTATATATACTTTCCAAGTCTACTTACAAATACAACATACATGGCTTTATATAGCCTCAAAATGAAACTATTATGTAATTGTAACCTAAAATAAATAAGAAGTCTTAAAATATAATAACTCTAAATTACTCTAAATTGTAACTCACCCCAAATTTATAACAATCAACTTTATTCTTCTTCAACGTGGCATGAATTGAAACATATTTTGATAATTTTGACAACCTTTTCTTCACATCTTCATTGAAGTATATTGTATGATTGATGTCTTTTGGTTCATATCACCTTCACACACTACTCTAACCGGCCTACACTTAGTTCAACGGTTCAGGTGCTAGAGTGAACGAAGTGGAGAGTTTGATCACACCATTCATACTACTTATAGACTGGAGAGCTATTTTAGTCATCTTGGATGAGGTCGAGCTCTATAAGATTCTTAGGGGCGTCTAAATGGTTTAAATCTCATCTCTCATTTCCAAGACGTTCGGGGTTACTTCTCTAGGCTAAAACAATCTTTGGGAGCACACAAGTCTATTTCTTTGATCACTGGTCACAATTCTAAGGTGCAAGGTCTACTAAAAATGTATTGACTCAAGTCAATGTGTAAACCACTTTAGCTATAACACCCTAGTCTAAACTTGATTTATGCATGCATGTTTGTTAGGGACCTATCAATCACCTAAAGCACGAGTATTACCTTGGTCATTTCTAGGAGTTGTGGAAGTCTACGAGGATACTTAAGGCAATTAGGTGGTTTAACGCAGACTTTCGACTCCAAGATACTCTATTCAAACTCCTCAAGTCTTTCTTAGTCTGGGAGCATCAAGAGTCTAGACCCTTTGACTGCCACTTACGATCCTAAGGTGCTCAATCTAATGGAGGTGTCTTGTCCTAGGTCATCGTCTAGCTAACCTACTCTAGCATGCTAGTCTAGCTCAGTGCCGGGAGAGCACACAATCAATCACCTTGAACTAATAATATACTATATCATGCATACATAAAAACTCAACGGTGAGATAACATCCATCAATCACCCAGAGCGCAAAATACAATATCTCATCCTCTATTCTAACACAGGGGAAAACATATAGAACAACATACGTTTTCAAAATTTCGACCTAGAGAGTTATGTCATG